CGGGCTTAAACTCACACAGGGCACGTGTGCGTGTGTGCCCAAGATCCCGAGAGGAGAATGGAGGAGAAGGGATTGCAGCACAGCTGTCTCTCCTGAGGAGTTATTTCTCACTTTCTGTCTCTCTCTGTCTCTCCAGAGAATGCATGTGTCCTATAGCAAAAATCTCTCTCTTAAAAAAATACAGACAGGCTAACCACTGCAGGTGAGCCCGGAGCCCTCTTTTCCAAATCTGCTCACTGGTGCCTTCCCAGCCCCCACTCCACAGACTCCCCTGGGATGCAGACCCAGACCATCAGCTCCGGGAAGCCTTCCAGGCTTCGGATCCACCTTTGTTTTACCCCACAGGAGGAAACTGAGGTTCAGAGAGAGGAAGCCTGTCGGAGCGGACCCAGCAGGCACAAGGGCAGGCCGGGACTTGAACCCAGCCCCCACCAGCACTGCCGTCATGACAGCCTGCATCCCTGCCCTCACTTTCCCATTGGAGAAGAGTCAGGGTCCACTGGCACCGAGAGGCATTCTGGAAGGCCCCTCCAGCTCCAGGAGCCATCAGGGTTTTGCATCCGCCTGTCTCCTGGGGACGTGGGCTGTGGGCATCAGCATGGCACGTGGCACTTGAGACCAGAAAACACAGGGCTCTCCCAACAGAGATGGCCTGCCAGACACGCAGGGTGATGTGGAGGAGGACGAGGAGGGCGCTCACAGACACACACACAGCGTGTGCACACAGACACAGGGACACACACGCTCTCAGTCACAGACACACGCAGGGACATGTGCACACACACACAGCATGTGCACATAGACACAGGGACACACACGCTCTCACTCACGGACACATGCACACGCAGGGACATGTGCATACACACACAGTGTGTGCACACAGACACACATGTGCACACAGACACACATGTGCTCTCACTCACAGACACACACACAGACACGGGATACACACATGCTCTCACTCATAGACACATGCACAGACACAGGATACACACATGCTTTCACTACACAGATACACGCACAGACACAGGGGCTTGTGCACACACAGCATATGCACACAGACACATAGGGACACACAAGCACTCATTGACACACAGGGATACACATGCATACACACAGACACACACAGCATGTGCACAGACACATAAAGACACACACATGAAGGAACACAGACACACACAGACATGTGTACAGAAAGACACATCAATGTATACTCCTGAACACACACAGACACACACAGACACATGTACAGACACAGAGGCATAAAGACACACAAGTGCACTCATGCACAGACACAGATGGACGCACTCAGATACATGAGAACACACATGGGCACATGCACATGTGCACACAGACACAGTGATTCACACATGCTCTCACTCACACACACACATGCAGGGACACACACATGCTATCACTCACAGACACACACAGACACAGGGACACACACATGCTCTCACTCACAGACACATGCACATGCAGGGACATGTGCATACACAGCATATGCACAGAGACAGAGGGACACACAAGCACTCATACTGACACACAGGGATACACGTGCACACACACAGACACACACAGCATGTGCACAGAC